TATGTAAAATATAATATATAATATAATAATATAATACTACTAATTTATTATAATTATTATTAATAATATTATAATTATTACTATTATTATAACATGTACAATTCAGTTCTTTTCAAGATAATATTTCATTTATAATTGGGAACAGCGCCTTAATATGCAAGTGAAGACATTTTCTACTCAACGTAAAGTTATAACCAAACATTTAGTCTGAAATAACAACATTGGAGATCATGCACAATGTGTAGTATCAAGGTCAACTGTCCGGTTAGGGAAGGGCATCAATGGTCATTAACTTGCTCTGGTCAACATAATGATCTCCTAAAAAGGAAAATAAAGAAGATATATTTAGCAATACTGCTGTTATCTTTTCTTATATGACATACTTTAAGCAACCAATAAAATTCGATATGTATGTATGTATGTATGTATGTATGTATGTATGTATGTATGTATGTATGTATGTATGTATGTATGTATGTATGTATGTATGTATGTATGTATGTATGTATGTATGTATGTATGTATGTATGTATGTATGTATGTATGTATGTATGTATGTATGTATGTATGTATGTATGTATGTATGTATGTATGTATGTATGTATGTATGCAGGTATGTATGTATGTTTGATAGGAGAATTCATTCAGTCATTGTCATCATTCCACGATAGCAAAAGATAAAGGTGATATTAACATGTATACCGTTGGCTGATCATTTTGATACACACACAAATGTTGTCATTAGACCTCCTTAGTGGGATTATATTATCTGCCTCTATTTAATTTATCAGAAAGTCAGTATGCATATTAAGGAAAACGCAAGAAAACTTTTCATCTTCAAAATAGAACTCCTTCTTTCGACATCAAAAATTTAGGTAGAGGTACGTCGCACATCAAATGCATATACGTACCTACGAATACGTACAGTAAAGAATTATAATAGTAATGGGGTGTCTAGAATATCTAGAGCAGTCAGCGTGGATTCCTCTCTCTGTCACTGGCAAGTAATGCGTGTGAGTATTTCTTTTTACAGGTATTTTCAGGGTTATTCCTCCGCCAGTTATACTGGCCGCCATGTAAAATGGATTTATCTCAAAACCAACAACAACTACAAAACAACCACACTAGGGATTTATCTGATGCTTACAATGATACGACTTTAACAGTCGTAGTTTGTGTTGTGTGTTCTTACTGTCCATGTAAAGAATTGAATTTATCTTTCATATCGCCTTTCGTAATGACTTCATCTCCATTGGCATCTGCCCTCCGGAATATTCCCTGGACTTCAGCAGGAGCGCATGTTTTGTAAACGTCAGTCCAGACGTTTACAAAAATGCTGATATTATTTTGCTTTTACCTGTAATGGAAATATGATATGTGAATTTAATGTTATATTTCCACTATTCAGATTTGATATAGAACGAATTTCTAGATAGGAAATATTTGTATTGACAATGTGGCTCTCATGCTATTTTAATAATATCCTCTCTTTTCCTATACGATGCAATACTCTTGGTATATAATAATGCGAAACCATTTTCCGCGATATATTGTCTTAGATGATTGTAAAAATTATAAACGAAACAGCCAACATAAAATAAATAGAGACAACCTGAATTATGTATGGAACATTTAGATATTAAATAAAGACTTTTATTTTTAGAACATCAACACTTTTTCTGGTATTCCAGTATCGTTCTTTCACCCAACCCATTAAAAAAAGGGATACAGAAGAAGATCAAGTTCTTCAGCCAGATCCTTCAAATATAAAGCCAGATTTCTTACATAAACCACACAACATCATGTGACGCAATCAGTTCCATCAGTCGCCTCTTACAAGTAGGCAGGAAATGCCCTATTCTACATCCCCGCGGGTGGAAGGAATTAAGTAGTTTTAAATCTATATACATGATATCCACAAGACAATGTGTTCTTGGTGCTCTTGCATTTCAATTAACTTACAGAGCAGCCTTGAGTACTTTATTATTCGTATCCCAGTTATGTACCCTTAAACTATGTTAACTTCCAGCCTCAATATCGTAATCTGGTTGTTAGGGTACATATCCAGGAATGCATGTTTTAAGTTTGTGTCGTACCTTGCACCTAATATGAGGCAAAGAAAAATAATGGCAAATGGGATCTAGAGAAGAAAGCTTACTTCAAGTCCAAAAATACAGTAAACATACAGGGAAACCTCAGCATGGTTAAAAACTGTTCCAAGTTCAGCATTACATATGCAAGATATTCGAAGTTAAAGTAATAAACATTACATAGGATTACCACGGAAGAGGGGCTGCTTTATGCCTGCTAAGCTCAACAAAACTGGGTTGACAAAATGTAAGTTTTTCCTTTAAAAAGATAAAAATGGAACACAGGCGGTGATGAATCTAAATTACCAAGAAGTATTAGATCAGTAAATATCCACAGACTCTATCGTCTTTGTCATTCAGGCTCTTTGTGTCTGAACTGGTGCTGTACCCCTTTGACGGTGATTAACATTGCTTTTAGCATGTCCTTCTTCATTCAGTTAATTCAGTATTTATAAGGATAAACACAATTAAGCATCATGACGTACGACAACACTTTCAATTAATATCACAGTCAACTGTAGTTTAGATTTACCGGCGGAAACTTAACTTGGCGTTTTCGGAACCAGTAAAGAAAATATGACAGTATTTTCTTTTAATCACATTACAAATAAACAAAAGAAGTTGCAAAAAGTTATCAAATTAAAATTTATTTGTTTTAAATACTTTTCGCCTAAGTAAACGTTTATATTCAAATTTATGTTTACGAACTATTTACTTGCATGTTATTGATGCCTCGAAAACAATGTTTTGTGCGAACGAAATTATTTTACGCATGCTCTAAATAAGACTTACAGTCCTTTCATACAAAAACAACAAATCACTTAAAAATTATTTAAAAACATTTATTTCAAAGCGGCCATGTTTTATCTTATACTTGAACCAAATATGTAACAAATAAGATAATGAAAAGGCTTTTATTTTGGTCATTGCTTTAAATAAAACTGGATGATTTTCTTCTCTAGCATATTGTAGTAATATAGCCTAAAAAATACCTTGTAAATTTTCTAAAACGTAACGATTCGTATAGTGCCGGTACTTTCATAGCTCTAACGAATTTTATCTCTTTGCAACAGTTAACCAACATAAAATATACTCCATCTCTCATAAATATTATTCATAAAATAAGTAAGTTATAATCAATTAAGTACGCGCATATAAATAGAGATGTGCATCTTTTCACGTATGTTGAATATACGTACCATGACTCCCGTTATCGGCCAGATATTAGCGGTTATCTATCAACATATATGTTATGTAGTCTGGCTTATCTGTCACACCTTGAACAGCTGTTTGATAACTTCTAGGTGCATGGATGTGTCAGAAATAGATATCTGAAAAGTGTTTATCTCATTGAAGTTATTTTTTTTTTGCACATCACATAAAATTGGTGTCTTGTTTGTTGATGCGTATTATATATGAATTATTGTTAATGGCGTAGTGCATGTTGAAAACTTCATGAAACATGGTTTAAAAGGTTCAAGATATGATGATTTATGTAGTGGATAAAGGAATATCGTTCGGAATAGCTGGAGTAAAGGAATAGACAAGGGATTGCAGGGAAGTGGTTTATTGGATGGAACTACTGGTAGGGAGGTCTTTGAAGAGAGGCTGAGCCTCCGGAAGCATTTGCAATTTAAGTGTTTCCAGGGTAAAATGTAGAAATCTAAACATAAAGAAAATTTACTCAAAGAATAACTCTGGTGTTATTGTGCTCTTAGTTTTTTCTCTTTTTTTTGTTTGTTTTGGCGGTGTTGTAGTTGGTGGTTAACGGGAATGGGTCTAGATCCGCTCCTGGAGTTGAGTGTATATATGATATAGTGACAGTCGGCTAGCTGACATAGATTTTGCCTTGATCTCTGATAACTTTCTTGTGCGTTTGTAAATCACGTGATGTCTTACACATTTGTTGGCGATTCCTATGTGATCAGCACATGTTAGGGTTTGACTAACATGCGTTAATGTTTCACGTTTTCGTTTTTGATGAATCATTTAGTGCCAAACGCGCTCTTAATTTTATTTTCTCGAAAAATAGTACATTAAATTTGTACATTTATTTTGCCTGATGACGTCTGAGGTTATGACAAGAAAACTGCACAGTCGTGTTCCATGATCAGATCATAGACCACATCTTAGGGCTAGGTCACGGTCACATGTAAATTTTATCAATCGAACGTCATCTGTAACATATTCCTTTAATAATACTCAATCCTATGTACTCCAAATTACAAAGAGTTGTATCGCACCTGAAGTAATTTTCAGTATTTGCTATCATATTCAATTTGTTTTTAAACTTTGCTTTTAAATTGAATCAAGATTTAGTAAATATCTTCAATATGTAGGTTTAGAATCTCTATTATATTCTTGTCAAAAATAGTTTCTGAATTATAAATTTAAATCTTTGTGACAATATGAAATTAACGAGATCCGTGTGACGAGACCACTTGTAGGTACCTGGAGAGAGAGAGAGAGAGAGAGAGAGAGAGAGAGAGAGAGAGAGAGAGAGAGAGAGAGAGAGAGAGAGAGAGAGAGAGAGAGAGAGAGAGAGAGAGAGAGAGAGAGAGAGTTTACATTGACGATTTGTGGATATGTTTAACACAGCACACATATATTCATTAGTCATTTTATTTCGCTGAACATTTTCTAAATTATAAAAACTTCCAAGTCGATCTTTTCTCTTGACCTGCAAAAAAGATGTTTAATGTATAATGCGTACATATATGACCCATGTTTTGACACACACATGTGTGATATATATATATATATATATATATATATATATATATATATATATATATATATATATATATATACGTATGAACCGATATATATATATATATATATATATATATATATATATATATATATATATATATATATATATATATATATATATATATACACGTATGAACCGCTCCAGTGGCCTAGTGATTAGAGCATCTGACTCGGGTGCGGGAGGTCGTGGGTTCGATCCCCGGTCGAGTCATACCAAAGACTTACAAAAATGGTACTAACAGTTTCCTCGCTTGACGCTCAGCATTAAGAGGTTAATATTAGGACTGGTCGGTCTGATATCAGGATAATGTGACTGAGTTGGACATCATGCTACATGTCTCCGGCATGATGTCCCAGTGCTAGACATCACTATAAACTGCCACACTGCAGACATCGTAGCGATATGACTGAAAAATGTTAAAGCTACGTTAAAAATTATATGTATGTATGTATGTATGTATGAAAGTATGTATGTGTACTTTACATTTCTAAAACCAAATGACAAATGATATATTGTTATGACAAATGATATATTGTTGTATGTCACTCAACTGTAATAATTTGAGTCGTGTTTCAGATTTCTAGCTACTGACAACACGAATCTCAGCTAAGTATACAAAATTCTGATTTTGATATCTCCAGCTACTGACTCCATAAAACTTGGTGCTGACATTTTTTATATCTAACCATTGGCAAAAGGAAACTGACCTTATGCAATCTCCAGCAAGTGACAATAGGAACTCAACTAACACCGCAAAATTAGAAATTTGAGATCTCATCGCAGGTGCAGTCTGAAATTCACCCGACAGTAAAAACTGATAAGACACACCTGTTTACTATAGATAAATCTGTTATGCAGTCGGTTAAAGAAGATACGTCTTTTTATTATAGATACGCGTGTATTATGCAGCAATGGGTTTAAAATACACCTGTTTATTATACGTAGGTTTTTGTTATCTTGTGGGTTTAAAACGCACCTGCTTACATGAGATACTTTTGTATTATACGAATGGTTTAAAGACTCCTGTTAATATAGATAGATCTGTATAGTAGACCTAGTTTAAAAACATACCTATTTACTATAGATACATCTGTATTATGCAGTAGGTTTTGATTCAAGATTCTTCATCTGAAATAAAGAAAATGTATATAATTTGTAAAATAATATACTGCAAATAAAGGTCTGTCCAGAAAGTATTGGCTCATAAAGATCGTATTGGTCTTAGTTCATCCTAGTTCATGATTTTAGTTTTCGTTACACTTGTGTATAATTATATTTTTAGAAATACAATACACATCCTGGCAGATTTACATCTATATCATCGCAGATAAAACAACCCAGGGGAATTATCAATCAAGGAATACTGAGGGCAACGATGACAGGACCGACCATCAGAGATAGCCGTGCAGACATTAACTCATTATGAAATGTATTTCCATTAATTAACAAACTATAACCCACATAACACATATATCTTCTCGACAGTACGGGTATATGAACAGTTATTTAGTTGCAGTGATTAAATGGGAAATGTTTTGTAAAGAATTATACTTATTAATAGCAAGATCCAACCAAACCTTTAAAACAAATTCTAACCTGTGCTTAGTTTGATTTAATTAACAGAGACACGAGTGATTAAAGTGGTACGAAGAGATGTAAATCATGCTCTATAATAGCAACTGGAAACTCAAATAAATTTTAAAATGGCAGAATATATCAAGATAAAGACGACATGGGTTGCAATTCTAAAATTGTTTTTTATGCATTGATGTGACGGAAATGTGAAGCCATTTACAACGATCGGAAGAAAGCAAAGGAACTAGGAACTAAGAGAGAGAGAGAGAGAGAGAGAGAGAGAGAGAGAGAGAGAGAGAGAGAGAGAGAGAGAGAGAGAGAGAGAGAGAATACCACTACAGTGAAGTACATAGAATGTGTTTAGCATTCGACCTTCGATAAATAATGTTAAAAGCTTTCTGAACAAGATTTGCAGAAATTTTCAGAGAAGGTATTTATATAAGTACTATTGTTTAATGCGACCAGCTACGCCAGTGTGAAAGGTGCGTCAAAAAGGTATATTGCACAAATGGGATGAAAAGTCCTTTTTATAGGCAAGATGTAGAATGGCGAGGGGAAGGAAGGGGGTCTCTCTTTCATGACCACTAAATGCCCGAAGAGAGTGATTTATTCTTTATACACTGAGATTGATAAAAGCCAACTATATTCCACCTTAAATAATTTTTAAACCAAGAAAGTTGATATTGGATATCTCTCTAAAAAGTGAATAATATTTATCTTCAGATATGCATATATCCGTTTGCACTCCGTCGGCAGTAATTGAATAATCAGCTTATCCAGTTATATCCAGTTATTATTATTATTATTATTATTATTATTATTATTATTATTATTATTATTATTATTATTATTATTACACAACTTATCAACATGATCTAATGATAATTTCTGGTAAAATTATTTGCATGTTTCACGTTGACATCACAGTTAAATAATTTATCGAAGAAGAATATGTGGAAAAATGGTAGTATACAAATCAAAAGATGAAATTGAAAACTTTGGTTTTGAATGTTAATTATATTCCATAGGTGTAAGAAATTTCTCAAGCGCAACACGCAGTTGACTGCAAACAGCGAAGAACTTGTCTTCTGATGCGTATTACACTGGTACACCAGTCTCTACGTTCTTCTGTCAACATTTGGTTTCATAGTGTAACATCCTATACTTGTCTTGCGCATTTCTGCTTCCACACTGTGCGCTAGGATCAAAGCGAACATATTAGACTCGTTCAACTGAACTTGTTTTATTACTACATGTGATCTCCGTTATGCGAGGCAGACGTGGCAAGAAACCGCACGTGCCGTGGACGCCACTTGAAGGAGGGGGGGGGCGCAAAATCGGTGAGCAGAACATAGTTTTGATACTTTCAAAGCTTTGATAGGTGGTCAATTTTAGTTCCTGCCGTGAGCGCGACTTTGATATTGTCGTAACTTTAGTTCTTACCGTGGGCGTCATATGTCATCGCTACTCCTCTGATGCGATGTCCTTCGTGTGGCAGAGATCTCACATAATCTAGATGAATATGACTTACAATGTACACCCTGTTCGGTATGTGCATTATGTGATTGTAGATTGGGTTCTACAGCGAATTCAATTGGAAGTCGGTTATAGAAGGAGTCAGAGTATAGAAACCTACCTGTGTCACCTCCAACATCGCCAGTTTGTTGTCATCTGCAACACAGATTGGATCTCCTTATCTAACATTGTCAATTTTGCATACTTACTACAACTATATTGATTTTAGTTATGTTCCCTCTGAACGATAAGACGACTTAGCTGAACAAGACCAAACCCAACTAAGCTACACGAGTATCATCTAACTTAATTTTATTGTCTAATGAAAATAGACCCCACAAATCTAGTATTAAATTCTTTCCGTCACTGACTTTTTTATCTGCAATATATTCATGTAACAATGTATTCTTTATATCGACTTTGTCCTATTTTTTTTTCACTTTAAGGGCAAGACCTTAGTAAAACCCACCCTAGGGTTAAGACTTTATTTAAACCCAATTAAGGGTAAGAGTTTAGTCTAATCCATCCAGATCAAAAGGATGCACATGGCAACATAGCTTTTCGTTTTCATGCATTTCGATTGAGCTTGGTAGACACAATTCGAACCTTCAATTTCGTTAACATTATGGTTAGATATATGCTTTTTTAACAGGGACTAAACATAGATATTATTTTTGTTAGGACCGTTAAGACGGTATCTTCTACATTGATGACGACAACGTCGCTCATTTATTTCATGCATATTTTTACTTTTATTTTCGTCTTCTTCCTCGTGTAGACATCGTTAAATTACATGGTTAAATTATAAAATTCCAAAATTTTATGCCACTTGTTCAACATTCAGAAACTAGCATTCAAGACTACTCGGCTATCGGCGCTTTTACTTCGCAAATAAAACATTTAACACTGCACATGTATTTGAATTTTATACTTGTTTAAATCACAGCAGTTAAACTTACGGTTGGTGTCATATTTTGTGAACAATGTCGGCATCTCAATGGTGGGGCTAATGGAACCGTTATGGTCGGTATCTAGTTTGGCAAACACGGTATCAGCATCCCTGGACAATCCGAAATCAGACGAATGCCAGCCATTCTCAAATTCGGTCTGTGAGACGAGCCCGTCTTCTACAGTGGAAAAGCAAATTTAAGGGTCTAATAGTTAGTTTGGTCTTCTAAAGCAGAAAAAGACGGCAACGCTATATCGTATCGAGACAAATAACCGTTTACTAGTAGAGCGTGCACAGGGAAATCTCATAATAAATATCACGTGGCATAAGTTCAGACAGTGCTGAGTCATAAATTATGATTCTGAGATGAACCAGATTATGTGTTTGTACATTATTGAAAATAGTTATAGAAACTCATATTGGCACGCAATATTGAAAGCAGATATATAAACATTCTCGACTCAAGGCAAGTAAATATTGTTTTTGTTATATTTCTTGAACAAAATATCAGTTTAAACAAATTCAAATTCTAGTTATATCGATGAATTTAGAAGCCGTCAAGATAATTATTCTTGCTTTTTAATAATAATAATAATAATAATAATAATAATAATAATAATAATAATAATAATAATAATAATAATAATAAATACTTGTTTTAATAAGGAAAACACATTTGTTCATGAAAGATCCATGTCATGTGGTCATCAGATTTTGTAACCGGTTATGTTAATAAATATCATACACCTTCTCAGGTATCCTCGTACACATATTCACTCAGCAATATCTTTACCGAACTCCACCACCAGCAATACTTTTACCTAACACTGAATCCAATTCTAGCAATATCTTTACCGAACACCACCGCCAGCAATACTGTTACCTAACATTGAATCCAATTCTAGCAATATCTTTACCTAACTCTGAATCTAATGCTAGGAAGATCTTTGTCTGATTTCAATCACATTGAAAGGGAAAGCTGCATAATTAGATACGTTACATCCTAAAATAGGCTTGCAATTCTGGGCTGTTTCCCTTCGTGTGTGCGTGATTCATTAAAGGGAAACACTCCCAAACTGGCTTATATGGAGAGAGTTAGGTACAGATAAGTCAATTGTTGTTTGTTTTTTTTGGGGGGGGGTAATGCTATTTTCAACACAAAATAGGCCAT